TGAAATGCTATCACCCGCTAACTCTTTGTTGTGTATCCAAATTAATAACAACTTTTTAACATCCTTAATCTTTAAACTGCGGAGCACATCATATGAAGGGTTGAGTAACTTGCAATAAATTGTGCATCACATCATATAACACGACACATGACGCGATGAAGTACCGCGCAAGATTTGAATGGCCGACGGGGTAGAGGGGGCCCCCATACGCTGCCCAGGAACTATAGTAAACAGCCCCCCATTTTGTAAAAAAATCCAGCTCACACCACCAATGCGTGGGAGACCCCAGTTTACCAGCAGTCACCATGTCGAGTGCACGGCCGAATGCCTCCCGGGCACACACCACACAATCACTTACCCAAGAGCAAATAACGAGTGAATTATTTTCTGATGGTGAGGAAAGTGATTTTGATGACTCTGACATTGATAAGGACTACTCACAATTGACCGATGATAGTAGCACAGACAGTGAAAATGAGATACAGCCTCCTCCCATGGCGAGGCCTACACGCTCACCCATGCCTCCTCGCCCAGTGTCTACTCCAATTCACCCACGACCACACAGTTCCTGTGCTTATTTAGCGTATGAGGATATTTTGGGTGACGAGTCAGAGGAAGACGACTCATTTTCTGGTTTTAGTGAAGTGGATTCAGAACATAGTGTTACCGAGCCTGTTGCTAGTACCAATGGTGTTACCGGGCGAGAATTTGTCGCGTCGGCAGGGTCTCGCCCAGCCAAGCGCCACCGCCTGGCACCACAAGAGGAACCAAGACCTTCATGTTCATGTGCTTTCACCTCACGTGCACGTAGCGGCCGTACTTTGCATAGACGGGCTTCAGCTCCTGGTCCACAGTGTGCATCCTGCCTCACCGTCGTGCCCCTGTTGCGTCTCGCAGGACACCAGGTGTACTTGTTTGGAGTGATGGTGACGATTTTATTCCTCTTAATTCATGCCTTTGACAATAAAGACGTTGGGATTACAGACCTTTTCCCTGATACTGGTGAGGACATGTGTGAAATGGAATATTTTACAGCATTCTATGATGAGCCGCTCATGGAATATATATTGTACACCAAACGAACCTTCATGCAGCTCATCTCATTGGAAAAGAGATCACAGAATATTCACGATTGCAGCGTTGGAAAAACACAACTGTAAGTGAAATGTATGGATTTTTAGCAACATGTATGTTGATGAAGCATTGTGTCAAACATGCTATCACTGATTATTGGAGTAAAGACCAGACTATTCCAACACCTTTCTTCGGGAAATATATGTTCCGAGACAGGTTTCAGATACTCCTTAGGTGTCTACATTTTGCATGTAATGAGGACTGGACAGAAGATGATAGACTTCGGCGAGTCAGGCACTATATGAATGAAGTGATTGGAAAGTTCAGAGATTAACACGTACCAGCACAGAAGCTAGTGATTGACAAATCCCTTGTGCTTTTCAAAGGACGTGTTGCATTCAAGCAGTATATTCCCTCCAAATGCAACAGATTTGGATTGAAATTCTTTGTTCTGTGTGACTGTGAAACAGGTTACGTATTACACGTGATTCTGTATTCTGCTAGCGATGTTGACATTCCCGGGAACGACCAACATGGTTTCTCAGGTAGTGTGGTGAAGTCACTGATGGCAACATGGATGAACAAGGGCCACATTTTGTACACGGATAATTACTATACAAGTCCCTTGCTAGCTAGGTTCTTGATTGAAAATAGAACTGGATTGGTTGGCACAGTAAAGCCAAGAAGAAGGGAAATGCCATTCTTTGAAAATAAACTTGAAGTTGGTGACTGCGAGCTAAGAAAATGTGATCAAATACTCTCAGTTAGGTGGAAAGACAAGGGAGAAGTGAACTTGCTGACAACCGTTCATGATGGTACAATGGTGAACAGTGGCAAGGTGAACCAAGTAACACAAGATATAATATATAAGCCAGATTGTGTTCGTGACTATAATATCAACATGCGTTTGGTTGATAAATCTGACATGATGGTGGACACTGTCGAGTGTGTGCGGAAAACATTGAAGTGGACGAAAAAAGTGTTTTTTCATTTTGTTGACATGAGCATGTTGAACTGCTACAGTATGTATCTGGTGAAAACTGGACGTAAACCAAGTTTCCGTTCGTTTGCTTTTACACTTGGGACAGTTATTAGCAAAGTTTGGCAAAGATGTTCCTGGCATACAAAGACCCATCATGAACCCAGTGTTGCAGCATGCTGTTACACCCAGGCTCGCTCACATTGAGGGCTTTCAAGCACACAGACTAAAACATTTGCCACCAACTGGAAAGTGTGCAATAGGCCAACGTGATTACCACTCTCTCCAAGACTTCTAAATGTGCAATATTAGTGCAAAAACCTGTAAATAGTGTGTGCATGTGTGTAAATATAATAATAAACAATGTGAATACATATTATATTGGCATAATGGAAAACATTTGTGTACGCATGTGTATTCTCAACGTATGCAACATTTATTGCCATTGACCATGATGTAACATTATATGCAACATAATTAGTGAATAATATTAGCGATAAAATATGCCTAGACACTGTAAATAATGCGGCGAAAATAAATTCGTGGCAATCCTGGCTGCTTGAAGACCGTGCACAACATCTTGCATGAGCGATCGTGCAGGGTGTGCCGTCATCGCCCATATTGTCGGCTCAGTTATGTCACCGGTAAGTACAATTAATTTTTTTTTATTTTTCTCGTGGTCAGGGAACACAACAGGTTAGGAAGAATTTTTTTTCGGGGGGGGGGGGTATGCGCCTGTGGGTGACAAAGGCTAATTAGCCCTGAGCAACACAAGGGTTAAGTGTTTGTGTTCTTCGTCTCATGATTGTTGATATGCCTTTTGCCATTGTACTGCCTGGTTAGTTCAACAACCCGTATACCATTTCATGTTTATGAATGATCTCTTGTTTTTGTTCGATGGTCATCCTCACATGTGTTTTCTTAGGTTGAACCTTACCACTGACTTTCTTGGGACCCACGGCGTGACATATAATAATTACTTTTATGTTCAGAACCCCAAAAAGCAGAAAAACAATGAAATTCTTTACAAAGAATTCAAATGCGATCGTCAATAAGCGGGAGGCACTGGTAAACTGAAGCGAAGGCGACTGTGCCACCAGGAACCACACGCTAGGTCGCCCATACGCGTATCAACAAACTACGTTATTTGAGGCAAAGCTCGTAAGCCAATTCATATTTTACGAAGAAATTGGGCTCGTAACCCGAAAGGTTCCTATATAGGGGCATTCGTAAGCAGTGGTGTCACTGTATATCTTTTCTCAATCTTCAGGATCCAAGAGGCATTTATGCGTCTACTTGCGAACCTGTACATCTATTCTCAACCTTCAGGATAAAAATTTATATGTCTACTTGAGAGAAGATGTACAGGTTCGTAAGTAGGCATGTAAATGCTTTTCTCAATCTTTGGTTCAATCATTGTTTACATTTTTAAACAGAGTACTAGCATCAGAACTTCCTAATCACATATTATTGTTGTAAACAACCACCTATGCTTTGGAGTTATAAACTGTTTGATTAATATAAAGAAAGCGGCTGAAGATTTGGACAATATTTACAGGTTCGTAAGTACTTGTGTAACTGCTTGATGCAGCTGGCCCCCCTGGTAGCTGGCAACAGGGAGGTTACCTTGAGATGCTTTTGGGGCTTAGCGTCCCTGCACCCCAGTCCTCGACCAGGCCTCCCTGTGGCCCGGTCCTCGACCAGGCCTCCCTGTGGCCCGTTCCTTGACCAGGCCTCCCTGTGGCCCGTTCCTTGACCAGGCCTCCCTGTGGCCCGTTCCTTGACCAGGCCTCCCTGTGGCCCGTTCCTTGACCAGGCCTCCCTGTGGCCCGTTCCTTGACCAGGCCTCCCTGTGGTCCGTTCCTTGACAAGGCCTTCCTTGACCAGGCCTCCCTGTGGTCCGTTCCTTGACCAGGCCTCCCTGTGGTCCGTTCCTTGACCAGGCCTCCCTGTGGCCCGTTCCTTGACCAGGCCTCCCTGTGGCCCGTTCCTTGACCAGGCCTCCCTGTGGCCCGTTCCTTGACCAGGCCTCCCTGTGGTCCGTTCCTTGACCAGGCCTCCCTGTGGTCCGTTCCTTGACCAGGCCTCCCTGTGGTCCGTTCCTTGACCAGGCCTCCCTGTGGTCCGTTCCTTGACCAGGCCTCCCTGTGGTCCGTTCCTTGACCAGGCCTCCCTGTGGTCCGTTCCTTGACCCGGCCACCAAGAAAGGCACATTTCATTACATTCATTTTTTTTTTAACATAGCTTCAGGTGAAAATGACTTTTGACTCATATTAGCAGGCTTAGAGCTGTCTTATGTTAGCAGGATATAGAGCTTTTTCTCATGTTAGCAAGTGTTGAGCTGACTCATGTTAGCAGGCTTAGAGCTGTCTTATGTTAACAGGATGTAGAGCTTTCTCATGTTACCAGGTGTTGAGCTGACTCATGTTAGCAGGTGTTGAGCTGACTCATGTTAGCAGGCTTAGAGCTGTCTTATGTTAACAGGATGTAGAGCTTTCTCATGTTAGCAGGTGTTGAGCTGACTCATGTTAGCAGGCTTAGAGCTGTCTTATGTTAACAGGATATAGAGCTTTCTCATGTTAGCAAGTGTTGAGCTGATTCATGTTAGCAGGCTTAGAGCTGTCCCCTTCCTTTAGCTCATTTTTTAGTCCTTACTTTATAGTTTTCCCTGGGGACACTTCTTGCAATTTGTTTTATAATTGGGTCCCCAATTACTCATTTAGTCAACATTGGCTAACTGGTGAGGGTTGGTGCCCAGTCGACCCTCCCTGTCCAGAGCCAGAACCTAGATGAAATCGCTGGTGAGGCTTGGTGCGTGCCTTCTACCACTTCATTATATATGATCTACTATTATTGTTCAGGTCAGTACTGTTTTTGAGCTAAAAAGAGTTGAAAATTTAATCTTTGAAGTCCTTTGAGTGCATCCCAATTTTTGTTTCCCCCATAGGCCTATAAGCTTAACTTCAGCCTGCACAATGACTTCGAGAAGGTCACTCCAGAAGAAACGGGCACAATATCAGAGGTGAGTATGATTTGGAGATGTTCGTATGATATTCGTTTTTGACATACGCACTGTGTCTCTTTGAGCTCTAATTTTTGGCTTGCTTACTTTGGATGGTATTACACCTTTGTTTAGATTTGAATTTTGTTTATTTGTATATATTTTCAGACATGTCAATAAAGCAGCATGCATAATTCTGCATCACTGTGATTTTTTTTGTCCCCTACTTGTATAAAAAATATTTGTTCTACTTGGTAAACATTTTTTGTTCTACTTTGTATATAAATTTTTTATTTCTCTTTCTGGGAGAGCTCTTATAGCGGGTCCCTGGTGATTGCTACTTGGAAAGCTACATCCAATTCAATCCACACTAGGCCCTTGCAAGTCATTGTAAGTCCAACAAGGACCAGAGTCCAAAACCTGGCCACCTCTGTGGGGGTGCAAGGAGCAAGGAATCCTAGATTGCCCTAATCAAGAAAAGCCCACCAGAATGGTGGCCGAACTAAAACGTACAAACAGTAAAGTAAACAATTCATAGAAAATAAGGCAGCGCAGCCCTGAGAAGAATGAATTGCTCTGCCATGCAGCAGTTGTCACGACTTTTTGCTGCGAACCACCAGGGGAATGCACACCTTCCTCCTTAATTCCACTGTCTTGAGCCTTGGTCATTTTACCTAGCATGGAGGTTTATAATGTTCACTGTTATGCTCCTCTTCTTGCATAGGTTCAGGGAATGGGGACAATTTGCCACTTCAGCAGGGAGGGCATCCTGAAAGTCAGTGAGGCAAAACAAATCACTGCCGAGTTCATAAAGAGAGCGAAACCTCACAATCCACCTAATGAACTCCTGCTCTTACCTTAAACTAGTTTGATGATTGCTCATTGTCTGTGCCATGGGACGACAATCACTCGCTCTGCCTCCGCCATGCTGCCTGTTGAGTTGGTGACACCTTTGACCTAGAGTCCTGTGAGGTTTGTTCTCCCTGTGTGGTTCTTCGTTCTGATCCTCCTGATGAGGTTAGGTAGCTTCCACTTTAATGGTTCACTTTAGTTGTTTACAGCAGTCTAGGTTATGTGCCTGGTTGGATGCACTGGAGCTACCCAGACTGGTGTTTAAGGACCTGGAATTGGAGGTGCTGGTGATTTGCACCATGGTTCTGTCTTCACCTCCTCTTCCTTCCCCTTCCGAATCCTGCAAGGAGGCAGTTGAGCCGGCTAGTCCCAGCGAGGTTTCATGGTTTTCCTTCCAGCCAGTCACCCGTCCCCTCTTTTGAAGCCTCTTCCTGGGACTCCACTTTTCTATGCCAGGTGTTGGGCGTGGACACCAGTTCTGCCCTGAGGCCCTTGCATGTGGCTTCCTGAGGCTAGGGGTGGAGGGGAGGGAGTCTGTTATGGGCCTCTGTGTCCTTTTAACTCTAGGTGGTTCCCAGTTCCATTTGAGGAGGGGTCTCCTATTGCAGGGGGAGTTTTTTTTTTTGCATTTTGCATCCTCCCTTCCTGTATGAATGTGGCCCCTTCCAGGGTTTGGTTTCATGTGCCTTTGGGCCCATTGGGATCATTCTTCTGGAGGTTTCCTTCCGAGAATCTCAGGTCCCTCCTTCATTGGCTCGGGAGGCTCTCTTCACTTCCCCCCCCCCCCCCCATGAGACCCAGATTCTGCCTCTGATGGAGCCTTCCTCTTTTAAGTTTTGGTGTTCCTCTCTTTATTACATGCATTATGAAACAAGGAGAGGTAGTCTCCATTCCTCTCCTCTCCACTAGCCAGGAAGAGGCTAGTGGAGAGGAGTCCACTAGCCCATATAATAATAAAAGTCCTTGTTGACCAGACCACACACTAGAAATTGAAGGGACGACGACGTTTCGGTCCGTCCTGGACCATTCTCAAGTCGATTGTGACAATCGACTTGAGAATGGTCCAGGACGGACCGAAACGTCGTCGTCCCTTCAATTTCTAGTGTGTGGTCTGGTCAACATACTTCAGCCACGTTATTGTGACTCATCGCCTGCAATAAAAGTCCTTATTCCAGAGTCTTCCTGGCTAGTGGATAATTGTTTGTTCCTGCTTGGGGCTTAGCACAAGCAAGAACTTTGAGCAAATGGCACATCATGCGGGCACAACTTTAGTTGTGCCCACATGAGGTGTCGACCATGTTGCATGTGTTTCTGTAGGGCCTTTCTTACGTGCCTCTCAATGACTATTTTCTTCCACTCGAGATGTGGGCCTCGTACTGTTCCATGCCCCAGGTGCCTTTGTTGTTGATGGTGCTTGTGGTACTTGACCTATTTGTATTTGGGTTCCATCAGTGGGTTTTGGGGCTTCCTTGAGCTCCCTACTGATTGGCTCCAGAAGGATGTTGAGGTACTCGGTTTGGGGCCTGATTCGGGTTTTTTTGGCCTCTGTTGTAGCTGCCTTTGCTGTTCTTTCCAGGCTGTATGCTCCTGTGCTCCAGGGGGCAGGGGCCATGTTCCTTCTTGCTTGCCTCGCTTGTTAGTACAGTAGGCTGTGTTGGCCCAGTCCTTGGATTTGGCATGAGGCTCTGGCACTCTTTGTTTTCCTCTCCCTCTTCACTCCTCTCCTCTTTCCTGAGGAGGTTATTTAGCAGTTTCTTTCCTCTGTGGCTGCTGCTTGTAGACCTATCTTGGACCTCATTTGTTCTTGGATTTCGTTCTCTTCCTTGAAAGCAGCTAGGTAGAGTTGGTGCATCACTGGCTGCGGGTTGGGGTTGGCTTTCTGTGGAGCCAGGTTCCGGGTTGCAAGTGCTTTCCCAAGGTTCGCCTCGTATTAGAGGGGGGACTCCTGGTTGATATCCCTGGACCTCTGGGATGCATATTGGCTTTTCCTTATCCACTGTGCTGCACAGGCCGAGAAAACTTGTTTGCCCGAAGATGCGCCACCTGACATATGATGGTGTTAGTATATCATATAAATCGAAACATCCCATGCATACAAGGGGGCACATCAACTTCTTCAGGGCTCTTGTAAATAGACACCATTTTTTGTTAAAATCATGGGCAACATTCCCAGGTGCGAGAGCCTCAGTACTGAGTGAGCCACCAAGGCTGGTGCATGCAGCATGAGCTCACAGCACTGCTGTTCAGCTTGTGACAACAGCATCTCCTAAAAATATAAAAAATATATGTAACTGGTAGTATTTAGAGATATTAGAATTACAGAAGACCCCTGACTGTGATAAAAATAACCAGTAGCCAGATTCACGAAGCAGTTACGCAAGTACTTACGAACGTGTACATCTTTCCTCAATCTTTGATGTCTTTGGTTACATTTATTATACAGTTTAAAAGTATGAAAACTTCCCAATCAACTGTTGTTATTGTTATAAACAGCCTCCTGGTGTTTCCGAGCTCATTAACTGTTTAAAAATTGTAAACAAAGCCGCCAAAGGTTGAGAAAAGATGTACAGGTTCATATGTGCTTGCGTAACTGCTTCTTGAATCTGGCCCAGGAGTCTGACAATAGCAGGATTGTTGTGATAATTTGCGCTGTGCTGTGGGAGGAGTAATGTTGAGGATGGGAGGGCTGTAGCGTCGCCTACCGAATCTATATGGCCTCCTGTTACTGTCTGCACTCGCCATATTAGTGGTGGGTTCGCTATGTGGTTCGCTTAGTTCACTTAGTGGTTCGCCATGGTGAACACAAATGTAGATACCTGTTCTTGCATATAAAGTATATATATATATATAGTGTAATAACAGCAAAAGGAGTGTTGGGAGAAGCCATTTTGGTGAGGGAGGTGGCATCATCTGCATGACTTGTCATGCTGTGTAAGGGTGGCCACTATGCTCTTTGTGCACTATACCACCTTAGTTTACCAGTTATGCTGAACAAAACATGTAGATACTTATGTATAATGTGTGTATAAAGTGTAATAACACCACAAACTTGAAGGAGGAATGTTAGTGCGTCTGGCCTTGAAGGAGAGAGGGAGGGACCATCACCTGTGTGTGGCCACCTGTTACAGTCTGCACTCACCATACCAGCTTAGTGGTTCACTATGGTGAACACAAATGTAGATACTTACATATAACCTGCGTATATAGTGTAATAACAACAAAACTATTTGTTTATTGTTTCATGAACATAATTGAATCACTTATATGATTACAATACTTTTGAGTATAACGATGATTCACACATTTTATTATATAAATATATCACACTACACACTACTGAATAATATTACTGCAAAAAACTTTGACAAATTCAATCAGACATATTGAAATAATTAGGTAATAATATCTTTGTGGCAACTCCCGCCTGACAGCTCGGGCAGGGCTGACCGCCTCTGGTCCTTGCTCTGTTAACTCTAATTTTTTGCCAGACTTCCCTGTGACGCCTGTGACGTAGACTCCCGGAGGCAGTTGTGCGCCAGCTTCAACATGCGCGAGTTGTCACAAATATTTTTTTGTTCATTTTTTTTGTGTTCATTTCCAAATACATTTGATTTTGTTTTTTCTTGCCAGTCCTATGTATAATGAACACGTACACAATATTACGGCAGTAGGACATCCGTACTGTCCCAAGACACTGTTATATGTGTCTCAAATGTGTGTACATATATTGCTCATATATCTAATGTTTCATGTTCATTTATGTGTGTATATCACGAAAATAAACACGTGATTAAAAATGTGACAATGTCAGACCACGGAGGAAAAATGAAACAAGAATTTCCTTAAGTACTTTCGTATATTAATACATCTTCAGAAGGAGTAATTCTGAAGATGTATTAATATACGAAAGTACTTAAGGAAATTCCTGTTTCATTTTTCCTCCGTGGTCTGACATTGTCACATGTTCATTTATGTATATTTGCAACATATTTACACCCTATACACTGTCACACTATATATATACTCCATTAACACAACACACTCAGAACTCCGCGAGTGTGAGCTGCCACACCCAGCTAGTTCTCCCTCACTCCTCCAGCACCTAGCTTACTCCTTACACCTTACTCGCCAACATTGCTCCTACCTCCATACTGTTATTGTTTTTATTACACTACACACAATATGTATATGTATCTACATGTTTTATTCACCATAACTATGCAACTAAGCTGGTATTGTGTCCAAACAGCACAGTGGTCACCATACAGTGAATGAGAAATCACACAGTAGCCAGCAGACGACGCTACGAATACGACGTCACCTCCCTCACCAAAATGGCTCCTCCCAACATACTCCTGTTGCTGTTATTACACTACATACACACATTATATATACCCATGTACATATGTGCTTACCACAGCGAACCACTAAGCTATGGTAAACAAAACGCTATGGTGAGCAAAACAAGAGTGGCTGCCACACACAGTGACGCTCTCTGGATACCCTCCCTCCCTCACTGAACTCCTCCCACAATACTACACACAGCACTAATCATCACCACAATCCTGCTATTATTACAATCCTGGTCACTAAATCCTGTAAATAAATAATTGACCACAAGTTTATTTTGTAAAGGAACATAAGTCGTTTGAAGATTCCTAAATGGACGAAATAATGCTGTGGTGCTGTGGCTAGCGCTGTGAACATCTTGAACAGCATTGATTCACTGATATTTGAACATTGTATACAGTCATTATCACACTCAGGCTCTTCTGTAACACTATCATGGCAAAATAACACCAGTTATTTACATATTTTGACATTATTAGGCAATGCTGTGGTCACAAGCTGAACAGCAGTGCAGTAAGCTCATGCTGCATGCACCAGCCTTGGCTGCTCACTCAGTACTGAGGCTCTCACACCCGGGAATGTTGTTCACTATTTTTTTTTAAATGGTGTCTGTTTACAAGAGCCCCGAGGAAGCTGATGTGAACCCCACGTAGCCGCGGGAGTTTTGAATCATACGCTATACCCATATGATTCTGGAGGCTCGTTGCGCACCCCCCTTCCTGCAGGTGTGTTGTGCAGTTCAGTGGTTAAACAAAAAAAAATTTTGTTTTTTAGTAAATAATTTCACTAACACAGACCTTGGCTGTGAACCTGCGGGGCCTGTCAAAATGTTCAAAATTGGGTTGCCTGCATCCTAATGCTGGCCCTGCTCCAGGAGTGCATTCTTGTACAAAACTGTATCTTTATTTATATTTAAATCTTTATTTACTTTAGTTTATATAATTTTTTTTATAATTTCAGCAATCTTCGTTCAAAAGGCAACATGTCATCCAGCCACGCTACTCGATCAACAACGACAAGCACAGATGCTGCCCTCAACGCACTGATGATGGTGAGGACAATTATCCAGTTGTATTGATATGATTTATCTTGGAGGAACAAATCGCTGATGACTGAATCTTCTACGTTCCATGTTTGTGCATCGGGATCATAAGCTTATTTCCCGTGATAAAATGCTGTACTTTGGGCGGAGATCTAAGGAGATAAAATATCACAAGGAAATCTTGACTTTCATGGGTTTTCACTTCTTGATCTTGCAATCTGAACCACTGCACTGTGCACCTGGTTTTGGCAAAAACTAAATAGTGCAATTGTAAAGGACATATTTTTGTTGTTGTAACACGGGGTGGGGTATCGACTCTCCCTTTGACTCTACCTTCACCCTTACCCGCCCGTATTCTATTTACTTCACTTAATACCAAGGGACCCCAGAGTTACTCTAGCCGAATCCTGTGCCACGTGGTCTTAGCTGCTCGATCGGCTAAGATTCTACAACCCCCGTGACATGGTACTACACTGCTAGCAAACTCAAGGAGCTCCTTCTGCTGCCACCACCAGATCATTAACCAAAATGACAATTAATCGGGGTCTGGACCGATTAATCAATCATTAAAGCCTTGGGGCTTGATCCCCAAATTACTTTGTAAGGAGGGATGAATCTACGTTAAGTGTGGGAATTATAGTAAACAAAGGGATAGATGATCTCTTAAACTTTGCTAGGCTTGCGGCCCAACTAAAACACATTTCATGGAAATAATAAAATACAAAGAACAAGCCTATTATTTATTTATGCAAAATCTAAACAATAGCTAAATGAAATCACTCCCTAATTTAACATTTCCTATTGAGGCATGAAAACTAACTATTTACCTATACAAAACCGTAACAACTATACAGTACCTTGAAAATGCGACCAGTTGATGTTATACTGATCTATTTGGAGAAGTGAGGGTGGATGACCTCTCCAGTTGTTGACCGAGACCACACTGACTCTACCTCGCTCTCCTCACCACTGAGGCTAGAGGGGTATTCCTATGCCAAGTTACTAGTTTACTAAGCAGGGTTTAAATTGAACAACTAATCTCTGTTGTACTGAACAACCCAGATGGTTGAACTCTTATAAACTGTTGGTAATCGTACAGACATCTTAGGGAAAGGTTATTTCCAATTACAATATGGCTATCTGAGCTTTGAGAATTACTAAATATGGAAGGCTTTGGTGACCTTTGACCCAGGGTCGTCAAGATCCATCCGCGTCAGAGGCTAGTCCTCTGCTAGTGACGTCACTGACGATGACTTACTCATTATTCCGACAATTAAGAATACTCTTGATACTTGAGCAGGTATATTATTGAATACAATTTGAATGAAGACTTGAATTTCTCTAAATTATTGAATTTCGTTAAATAATTCATTATACGTTGCTTTAAGACAAAGGTGACGGCCATTTTGTAATCTTAACCGCTAATCCCAGGAGGGCTGACCTTTCTCTGCTTGAGTCAGATCAAGTACCGTCTGACTCCAAACTTTCAAAACCCCCCATAGTCTATGAGAATCTATACTGAATAATTCCCTACGACAAACCTAGTTTGTTACATTGTTTTTATAAATGTTCAGGTAAAGTTAATGTCAAAATATTTCCAAACTCAACTATTTCCATTTCAAAACACAAAGAGTAAGGAAAACATTAAAAAACATTAAAATATAGCTGGGGGCCGACAGCTGAGTGGACAGCACTTCGGATTCGTAGTCCTGAGGTTCCGAGTTCGATCCCTGGTGGAGGTGGAGACAAATGGGCAAAATGTTTGTTTCTTTCACCCTTATGCCCCTGTTACCTAGCAGTAAATAGGTAACTGGGAGTTAGACAGCTGCTACGGACTGCTTCCTGGGAGTGTGTAACAAAAAGGAGGCCTGGTCGAGGACCGGGCCGCGGGGACGCTAAGCCTCGAAACTGTCTCAAGATAACCTCAAGATATAGCCTAATTAAAAAAAAAATACCACAACTCTCAGAGCGACTAAAGGAACTTTGCGCAGTGCATTGCTGCATCTTTCTTTGGTAAAGAAAGTAGTGCATTCCCTATTTTATAGCTTATTTCTACCTTGTTATTTGCCTTTCTTCCCTTGTTTTTCCTGCAATCAGCTTTTTTTATGCAGACAAGTATAGACCCAGAACTTAACCTCTTAACCACTATCTATGACAATTATCACTTTAATGATCTAAATTGCAGATATTTTGCAGCACATGATGTAAACAATGTATTAACTCATAATCACAATATCTCTGTAATCAATTTGAACGTTAGATCCCTAGGTAAACACTTCGATGATGTTAGTGCCTTGATTGAAGCTATTGACAACAAATTCTCTTTTATTATACTTACTGAAACATGGTTGAAAGAGGATACTACTCAGCTCTTTAACATGCCTAACTACTCAGCAATTCACAACTGTCGTCAAATTCAGAGAGGTGGTGGCACTGCTCTTTACTACCACCAAGAACTAACATGCTTAAAAGAAATTAGAACCAGAGACTGCTATGGGGAGTATATCTTCGCCAGCTTCAGAGTCAAGGGTGCCGAGTCTGTCCTGACTGTGGGTGCAGTTTATAGAATTCCTAACACTGATGTGTCCGAATTCAACTCAAACCTTAGAAATCTAATACTTGATAACAGACTGAACAAAAACCACCTAATTATCGCAGGGGACTTTAATATTGACCTCTGCGAGCCTGAACACCCCACTGCTGTTAGCTTCCTCAACTGTATGAATTCCTGCTTCCTCATACCCTTAATCACTAGACCTACTAGAATCACTGATAGCACTGCCACGACGCTCGATCACATCTGGACAAACATAACCTCTCCGCTTACTTCAGGTATAATCACCGATAGCACTACAGATCATTACCCCACATTTCTCTTAACTAACATTAGCAAACCACCTCTTGAGTCAAGAGTGATACGTTTTAGACTGCACAATGAAACTGCTATAGACAATTTTATAACTGCTGCTGATAATGTCAACTGGGAGTCCGAGTTAGGTAACATAGTGGACATCAACCTTGCAGTACAATCTTTTCTTCAAAAAACTCTTAGCCTTTATAATACCCACTGTCCTATGCTTACAAAACAAGTCACAACCAAAAGGCTTAACAATCCCTGGCTTACAAAGGGAATACTTAAATCTATTAATAAAAACATGACTTTGAGAAGAAGTATAGGTTAGGAATTGTCTCCAAAGAATTCTCAAAGAATTACTCATTATTGCTGTCTAAGATAATTAGACGAGCCAAAACTAAATACTACGAAGATAAATTTACCCAAATAAAGAGCAACATTAAACAAACTTGGAGAACAATTTCTCAAATATTGGGATCAAAGAAGTCTTTAAATAACAAACCGACTCTCCTGTCTAATAACGATGGTCAGCTTTCAGCCTCTGATTCTGCTACTGAGTTCAATAGGTTCTTCTCTTCCATTGGTTCATCCCTTGCAAATGATATTCCATCTTCCAGTACAGACATTAATGACTATCTTTCAGGTAACTATCCACAGTCTCTGTACCTAAAGCCTATTAATTCCACTGACGTCAATGAGATAATCCTTTCCCTTAAAACCAAGTCTGGTGCCCTTGAGGAGATACCAACTTTAATTTACAAAAAGCCTCCAGATCTTTAGCCCCTGCTATTGCTTTGCTCTTCAACAAGTCACTTGAACTCCAAACCTTCCCAGATATTCTAAAAAAAGCGAGAGTAACGCCTGTCCACAAATGTGGTAATCTCACAGATGTTAACAACTACAGACCTATATCTATCCTGCCAAACTTGTCAAAAATTTTTGAAAAACTAATCTATAAGCAGCTTTACTCATATCTAGCCAAACTCAATATACTTAGCCCTTGCCAATATGGCTTCAGACCCAAAAAAAGCACTAACGATGCACTTATTAGTATGCTTAACTCGATTCATACAGCTCTTGATAAAAATGAGTTCTCTGTTGGGTTGTTTGTGGACCTGCGTAAAGCTTTTGACACTGTCAACCACCAAAACCTTCTTCTTAAATTACATCATTATGGAGTCAGAGGACACTCCCTACAATACCTCAAATCCTACCTTACTGACAGGCTCCAATATGTTTCTGTGAATAATACAATTTCTCCCACCCTACCCATCAACATTGGTGTTCCCCAGGGCAGCATACTTGGCCCTCTCCTCTTTCTCATCTACATTAATGACCTTCCAAATGCCTCCCAACACCTCAAACCAATTCTATTTGCTGACGACACAACCTTCATTTACTCCAGTCCTGATCCCCTTGCTCTAAATGCCACAGTAAATATTGAGCTAAATAAAGTCCATCTGTGGCTAACTGCCAACAAACTCACCCTTAACATTGACAAAACCTTTTATATTCTGTTTGGCAATAAATCCTCTAATCAAATAAATCTCAAAATAAACAATACCCAAATTTGTAACAAATTAGATGGCAAATTCCTTGGCATTCTCATTGACCACAAGCTTAATTTCCAGGGACACATTCTAAACATATCAAAAAAAGTTTCAAAAACTGTGGGCATTCTTTCTAAGATCAGATATTATGTACCACGCCCTGCCCTGGTGACTCTCTATTACTCCCTTATCTATCCATATCTCAACTATGGTATTTGTGCTTGGGGCTCTACTACCCAAAATCACTTACGTCCTCTAATTACTCAACACAAAGCTGCTATTAGGACAATATCCAATTCTGGCCCCAGACACCACTCGGTACCCCTACTTAAATCTCTGAATATGTTAGACATTAAGTCACTGCACATTCTCTCATGTGTATTATACATATATAAAACGCTAAACTATAATGCCAATCCTGATCTCAAAAGCTTCATAGAAGGTTGTATCAGAACCCATGAGCATCACACCAGAAATAAATACAGTTTTGATATTCCTAGAGTACGACTTAATCAAACTAGAAATGCTCTACAAATCAAGGGGCCCAGAATGTGGAATGACCTTCCCAACCATGTTAAAGACTGTACCTCTCTCAACCAGTTTAA